TTAATATTGGTGAGAAAATATGAACCAGTACTATCGCATCTGGCCAATCACCAGGATTGTACGACCAGTTTTTGGTCAGTTCTTGTATTATCGGATGCTCGACGTACGGATGGCAACGATTGAATTGGCTGCAACGGAGTCCGCTACCCTGACATAATTATAATATTGTTAGGCCAGCTTTAACTACAGACTCAAAACGCTAGCAAGGTTGGTTGGTTGGTTGGTATATTTTATTTAACTTCGCTAGAATGAACAGGCATTGCTGCCTTCTTGCCTGCACAAATGAATTGTCCAAGCTCTCACAAAAAGACGAAGAAAGGAAAGAAATATTACATGAGAGTGTGAAGCATGCAATCTTGTAAGAGAAAATTCCATGAGAGTGTGACGCATGCATGATGAGAGAGGAGAGATAGATAGAGATAGAGAGAGAGAGATAAAGAGATATATAGATAGCGAGAGAGAGAGAGTTCAAAGCAGTTAGGCCGACAAAGCCAGCATTATGAGCGGAGGCAGAATTGGGGGACCAGCAACACGAGACCAAGTATGGAACGTGCCATGGGCAACCCTAGTTAGAAAGCAGTTGTTGTTCTTTTTATTTGAATTCGCAACACCGAACGGGCAATAAGCCCAATTACATGGAAGCGAAAAAATATGCCTCATTCTTAGCATTCTTTTATTCGCTTCCATGTAATTGGGCTTATTGTCCGTTTGGTACTGCGAATTCAAATAAAAAGAACAACAACAACAAAGCAATGTTTTCAGCGGCACCCAAACACTGTTTACAGTGAGCCGTGGGTGATCTATTCTCCTTCATCTTCACTAAGATGAGGAATCTTCTTGGCCTCAACAGTTTCAGGACCCACCTTCTCATCATCAGACGATTCTTCAGCATCGGAGTCGCCGCCCACACCCAGCGGAGCAACCAGCAGCAGGCACATACTGTAGACGTGGGTTAAGCGCATCAGAGTGACAAACACGTTCTTGTAGACGAAGCTGGAGAAGGCTGTCTTCTGCTGAATGGCGATCGTCACACGCACGAACAGCTTAATGCTTTCGCCCAAGATCTCCAGCATCAAATACATGATGTAGACGATAAGGTTGGCGCGACCGTAGAGCGGCGTGACGGGCGTTCTCTTATCCTTCAGCGTCAGGTGGATATCAGAATAGGTCCACAGCTTACCGTCCCTCAAACTCACCTCCAGCGTCAGCGTGATCAGCTCATAGCTGACTGCGAACAGGATCGGTAGGGCTATGGCTAAGTACATTGGTTTGGAGAAGGTCTTCTGCATCGCGCCTACCTCGTTTAGGATAGCCTCCGCGTCCAGAATGGCCAACACACTCTTCTCCGCAGTTTTCAGTGTCAGATAGAACTTGCGGAACGGATCATTGGTGTCAGAGCGTTCTTTAATCTTTGTGTATCCGACGTTCATGCAAAGATTGATCAGGAACGTGTAGACAAGGAATCCGGTGGGAATGGTATCGCCCGTCACCTCGCCGCTCGTTCCCAGCATGAACCACCAGAGTCGCGGCATCAGCGCCACCACAACGTAGATCATCCAGGTGGCGTAGTGCGGGATGTAGGCGGCGCCCCTGGTGTTGAAGTACAGGCCCACGGAGCTGCCGCCGTGAAGGGGCGTCCACTGCGAGATCATGCCAAACTGGTATATAGCCTGGAATATGATGATGTACGTGGATGTGAAGAATCGCGGCACAAAAAACATTGACATGATAACGACTAGCACGAACAAACCGGAGCCGATCCACAACGGCTCCAACGTCCACGCAATCGGGTAGATCTCCTTATAAAGCTGAATGCTGAGTTCGAACATGACCATCTGCACCACGAACATAATAGCCATCAGAATACGGGCCACGTCAAAGAACAACCGTCTGCCGAATCGCAGCCGTTTAGTGGGCACTTTGAAGACTTTTTTGCCGTAGTGCATATCGTCCCGGTAAACTTCGCATATCCACTCGGTCAGAGGTTTCTTCTTGAATTCGTGACAGTCGCGACAAGTCTCTCGGTGCGTCATTCTATGTTCACATTCGGGATGGCGCGGTCCAGTGGCAGAGAGAGTGCGAGGTCCTCTCACTAGCTCTTTAAGGATCATATTGGAGAAGAATACCAGTCAGACCACTGGTTCGATGTCGATGGTAATTTGTCTTCTCAGTATTGCCAGCTGATTGTGTCAAATTATATAACTGTTTAGAAACAGACCAAGGAACTGTTCAGAATGTCCCTTGCTTGCACACTCGTGGTCACGCAGTGTATTATGACCAGAACAAGCTTCAAACGTTCATGAGAAGACGGCACCAGGATCGAAATGACATCTCACTTCATAGCCAGTATCTCGTTTCTCTGTCAGACCGACTTCAAATGGCCTCTGACTGTCTCCCTAGGTAAACACACGCAGCCGGTTGAACACTAACGGAAGACAACAATCGCTAACGGATGCTATCGCCTCACTCTGCATTGCGTGCGCGAGACATTCCTGTGGGTATGCTGTCTACATGCATGGGACCTGTAGACTTGTAGGCTTGGTGACGTATAATAATGTATTGTACATGATAGTACAATGGACAGGTGCGGTCACTGAAATCCGACCCAAAGTGCAAACGTGGCGCCCTGGACCAGCTCTGATTACATCAGTTTGTACGTACATGTGTACGTCCAGCCGCTTTCGTTTCACTTCCAGGGCGACAGGGGCCGTGGAAGTTGAGGGCGCCAGCTTTGCACATTGGGTCGGATTTCAGTGAGCGCAACTGTAGCTGGCAGAAGTCGTGACGCAGGGCGCGCTGGGGTTGTCGGACAAGAAGGAAATGTTCTCTGGGGGAACTTTGGGAATGCCGGGTTCTGTTGCGCGTTCTGCGAGCAGAGCAAGCCATAGGGCTGTTGCAAACTCACACATCCGTGATACTGTAAAAGCCATATAGAAGTGCTAACTCTAACGAGGTAACGAGGAGAAATCTGTCGTTAAAATAGAAATTGTTATACAGGAGTCATACTGTCCTATTGAGCGTTGAGAACGAGTGACAATCGTTACCTTTGGTACACGTAAACCAGTCAATTTTGGGAAATCGTTATTATAATTATGGGCCTCGTTAGAATTATGGCTTTTACAATATAAAGCACATTGTCACATGTATAGAAGGCAGGACAGCCTAGATGTCCACTCGTGAAACAACGGTGAATCCAGCATAATTCTGACGTGACGTACCCTTATAGAAACAGAAATTTGTACAAACATGTAGTATCGAGGTGCAGGTACTTCTTATCCGAGTATGTTGTGTGTATGAGTAATACAGCTGATTACCTTACACTTACAGAATGCGTATACTAGGCAAGTGCAGTTGCCTTATCAAAGTATGTACTACAATGTATTGTAGGTGTGTTGCACTGCAAACCTGTCACGTGATAAGTTCATCATAGCAGTAATGAGTTAGAGTACTAGTACACTGACTTTGTTGCCTTGCTTTCATTGTGATCGGTTAGGCCAGTGATTCTGAGCCCGGCTGAGGTCGAAACAGCTGACTGGCCGCAGCTTGAATAAGTTCATCGTTATGACTGTCAGAGGCTGAGTACAGTAGTAAACAAATAATTATCGTGTCCCAAGCTCATCCCCCCCCCCCCCACAGCCTGCATCATAATTATCACATCGACACACGAGACAGCTGTCTACAGAAGCGATACCTAATCCCTTTGTCCGAAAAGGGCTACTCGAAGCCGAATGGCAGTCGGAATTCCCAGGCGCCTCTATACATGTAAATTAAGACCTGTCAATGCGACCGCACGGATAAGGCGACCATCTGTCGTAAAAGACCACTGAAACCAGGACTAATGGATGCTTTTTCCAGTCCAATGACCCTGGATGAGGAGACCACCTGGTAGCAGAGACCACGTTTTGAAGGTCCCTGGAGCGGTCGTCTTAGACAGGTTAGGTCGTGGAGGGCACAGCAATTTACTGATTGTCCCAGCCAGCCCAACTGCATACCTTGCCAAACGTGTTACCTATGCTGGGACCATCTTATGGAACCAGCTCCCCGCTGCGGTCAGGCAAGAAAGAAAACGCAATCGCTTTACGTCAATGGCTCTTGCCTTTTTGCTTGCCAGATAAATAAGCCTCTTTATAAATGCTGTATGCACTGCGTTTTCCGCTATTTTCTTCCTATGCAAGTCGCAACTCCTGTTTTGAGTTGTTTTTCTTCTCTCTTTTTCTTTACCTACCAGTTGCTGTTACATTCACTGATCCTTATGCACAGATATACAGCATTCCCTCACTAGTGGGACCATTGTTATTAGGCTAGGGCCTGTTTTGGCCTTCCCACTCTAAATTAATAATACAAACAAAACAAAACAGGTTTCGCTGCACATGTGCATGACTGTAGTCATGCACACAAAGACAGAACAGCCGCTGCATATTACCACACAGTCAGCACCAGGAAAGAGAAGGAGCAAACCAAAAACTAGATGAAGTATGCACAGTGTACTTCTAGCGCAAATGCACGGCACGAAACATCAGTGACCTTACGCGTCATGAAGTTTCGTGCATGAGTAAACTCTATTGAGTATCGTTTTTTATTCCATGTAAATACGATACAGCAGGCGAACAAGCAGCTTAGCCTGATGAAATAGGAGGATATTGTACATGTAGAACTGGAAAGGTGTGTGGGGTCTGGCGACATAAGCCTCCAAATTTAGAAGATTAATGAGGTGTACAGCCTTAGCAGAAGTGACATCATAACACTGACATTAATTTTGATTCATGCACAGCGTAACCACAGCAGAAGGCCAAAATGTGCGTCGTGACGTACAGATGGTCTTCCAGTGGATCGTGGGAGTGTTTGCGCGCTTGCGTGTGTTTGCATGTGTGTGTACATGTATGTGTGCGTGTAGGTATGTACATGTACATGTATGTCCATATGTGTGTGTTTGTGTGTGTTTGTGTGTGTTTGTGTGTGTTTGTGTGTGTGTGTGTGTGTGTGTGTGTATGTGTGTGTGTGTGTGTGTGTGTGTGCTTATGTGAATATGTGTGTATGTGTGCATGTACATGTATGTGAGAGAGTGCGTGTGTGTGGGGGTGCGTGCGCATTATGTGAATGTGGATATATATGTGTGTGTGTGCCCGCGCGTGCGCGCGTGGGTGTATGTGTGTGTGGAATGGAATGAGTGAGTGTGTTTACGATTAGCCCGTTCAAGGGCTTTCCCTGGCATCCCGCCTGGCAAGTGGTGATTCCACCTCAAGGTTACTGGAACGACGACGCTCCTGGTTATGCTTTGGACAGTGGTCATTATCGGCGAGGGAAGGATTGGAGAAGACGGTGGCCTGCGTTGGACACTGGTCCAAAGGCGTCGACAAAGAGGTTCGCTGGCTCAAGCAGACGCTGGGGCTGAGAGAGACGATGGAGGGACGGGCTGTGGAGCCCCTAGGTGTGCCGCCGTGCGATCCCAACGTGTGGCATGTCGAACAGAGTGTACCGGCGGTTACAACGGACGGAGACATGCTACATCGCTTGCATACATTGCGCTGTGCTCCATCAACAGCTGATTCGACATTGGTGTTTGGGTGCAGGGCAATGTTGCTACCAAACTGGTCTTGAAGGATATCATTCTTCTTGCGCCTCCACGAGCTGTGGCCGTGGTGAACATACACCTTTGGTTTGCCACCATGGCCACCAGCGGCCAAGTAGTTGTTGCGTGCTCTGCGGCGGCGTCCTCCAGGCAGTTTGGAAAGGCGGTCCAGCCAGACACGGCGCATCTCCTTGTCGCGACTGGCGTACAGGAAGATCATGACGCCCTGCGCAGTGTTCAGCACGGTGAAGATGTACTGCGTGACCACGTGATCGTACACGACCACCAGTATGCCGGCGGTCCAGGTCATGCCGAGCAGCATCGATAAGTACACGATAGTGCGCAGTAGGAATGCTGCGCTGGTGGTTTTGCGTCGCTGAACAACCTGGCCCACACTCTCCACACCCTTGCGTAGCGACTTCACGACCAGCATGAGAACGACGATGTTGTACAGCAGAGACACAGCGATTGGAAATATCAAGGCCCCATAGAATGCAAGGGGGCTGTCCATCCAGCAGCTGGAGAGAATATTCATGCATGCACAAGCACACAATATGGGTCAATATTTGCAGTAGAGCATATATTCAAAATTTTGAAGGACGCTTCACACAGCTTCGTTATACTTGAATCGTTTGCAGGCAACCTGCCTACACTCAAGAGAGCACTGCATTTCACACAAATCCATTGGTATCGTTACAACGTTTCGGTCTTTATGACCATCATCAGGAATGAAGTGGACCCAAATGCTGCCTGCCTATTTTCGATTTTTCATGGATGAAACAGGTTATAACATGGATACCCCCCCCCCCCCCCCCTAGGGATATCGCACAACCAAAACCATTTCCGGGCTATAACTGAAGGGATACTGTTCATCGTCATCCAACTACATTCGTTAGTTTCAGAATAATGAAGAGGGTAAAGCAGTTTAGAGAAAAAAACGATTTGAGCCAGGGACCTTTGCTGCAGGCCAACAATGTTCTATCGATGAGCCACGGTGAGGTTGTCATCTTAGCACAAATCCCTCAAAATTCCAGCCAGTCTGGAATGTTTTTATCAACAAACGCACGACACATCCGATAGCACTCACAAGGCAGTTCCTTACTACAGCTGTTTAGAAAACTCTGGTTGGTGAACGTAGATAATGTAGAATTGCTCATACATGAAGATGCTAGTAGTGAAAATCCCCATTTCGTACCGAAAGGGGGAAGAATAATACACACTGGAGGCGTGAGGATTAGGGATAAAAGTAGGGCTAAGCACTTGCTGATGGTGTACTGCGGAAACGGATCTAGGTCGGCTGGAGAGAGCAGTTGTGGAGTGGTGAATGATTAAAATAAACTCCACAAGGCCGAATGATACGGCTTACCCTTGTCTAAGTTTGGATTGCTTTAGAAAAATTCAAAATACAGAAAGCCCAAAAGCATTCCGTTGAATATGCAAACTTCCCATGAGTGTTAAAATAACATACTATGTCTTGCAAGTATGGATTAGAGTACGCATGCAGAGACCTCTAAAGGCCATGCTAAGAAATTCTCTAAAAATTTGGAGACAAAGGCGATCCGCTACTGTACTTACTATCGCTGCGTTCCGTATGCACCAAGACGTGTAATTCCTGCAGTGCACGCTACCACTACAAACGGCAGACCTGAGGTACATTTATGTGCAAGCGGACACACAGAACAGGATGGCAAGAGAAACAACCTTTGCAGCTGCAATGGAGGCGACAATTCATAATAATAATAATTATTATTTATTAATACTCGGGTCCTAAAGGGAAGTTACCCTCATTGACTGTGAATTGGAGTTAATCGAACTCGGATGGGAACGTGAGCAAATATCGGAGAGGAAATGGTATGGGAGATCTTGATCTGTGCGCCATTCCAAAGCGAGTGGGTTGAAAGTTGTCGTGTTCAGCCTTTGTTAGAAATAATCTGGTCACCCTTCCCATCAAAGTTGGAATGCTTTTTTATAATGTATTATTAAAATAATACATTAAAATGTACCTTATTTTTCTTGTGTGCGGTTGTGCTTGTGTGGTCGGGGGGGGGGGGGGGCTTTGAGTAAGAGAGTAGGAGAAAACCCAATAGGGAGCTGCGGATGTATTAGTGAGCTGTTTGATGATGAATATTAACCATGGTGAATCGGTGACTGGTTGCCAACTTTCATTTCATTCTTACTATCGCCAGAATTATGGCGAGCCAGGATATGCATAAAAAATCAATAACTATGACAACTCGGATGGCCAGCCAATTAAATTATGGTGAAAAGGTAGAAGGACAAAATCTCAGTACTCCTTGTCAGTTTTGTGCCATTTTATCGCACTCGCTGACTGTATAAGATCTGGTTACGTTGGTGGACAGTTAGTCATAACTCGTAATATTTTTGCCCTTCTCCCTTTTCACCATAACTAGGACAACCTATCTCTTATTGGCGATGGTGCCATAGTGAGAATAAAGAGTTCAAACAAACCTGGGACGCTTCAATACGTACCAAGCGTCATTAGGATCACGTTTCTGAAGAACGAATTCGAATGCACCGCCATGACGCGCACAAGTTTCTTGTAGATGAGCGTGGCATCGGCATTCATCCACATAAAGCTACACAAGACGAGATAGTGCAGGCCTATTGCCACCGAGTAGCAGACGGCTGGTCGAGACGTAGCCGTAATGGCCGTCAGGAACAGGGCGTAGATGGCCAGCAAAGTGGCGCACAGACCGAGCAGCAGGCGATTATGTGTTGTCCCTCTTAGCGATCTATACACACAGCAAAATGAGACGATCAATCAATATACATCAGATTGCAAATTGGGCGTGCCAGGCACAGGAATTCAATGCATTTAATTTTAACCGCTGTCCGCAATCAATAAGACGAGCTGAAACGACATTTGTGTATTTATTTATTTATTTATTTATTCAACATCTCCTGGCCCGTCCGAAGACTGCCAATAAACATGAGAGGTCAGGTGATAGCCAACCACGGCAAGCTAAAAGGGAGAAAAAGAAAGATGCTGTCAGAGAGGGAAAGGAGATAGGGAGAGAAAAAGAAAGGGAGGCACATTAGTAATACATGGGATCACTTCGGATGAGACAGTGTGGAAAGCTGGACTTTGAATTTCCTGATATCCTGGCATGTCTTAATGCTAGTAGGCAGGTTAGACCAAAGGGAGTATGCTGAGAAGAAAGGGGATTTCAAAAACAGAGAGGAACTAGCTCGGGGCAGTGATAAGGCATTGCGTGTTGGTCTAGTGGTAACAAACCAGTTGTACTTGGCAATATGTTTCGGGACTTGGGCTAGGAAGATTTTTTGCACAAGGATACAAAGATGCTGCTGATGTCGGGGAAGAAGAGGGTGCGTGGAAGCAAGTTTATAAAGACAAAGGATGTTTGGTCTTTTCGAAACAGAATTTTCAGAAGCAAGCGTTGATGTACTTCCAGTCTGTGGAGTAAAGTCTGAGACAACCCGCACCAAGCTATATCGCAATAGTCAAATATAGGCAAAATGTACGACTTAAAGAACAATTTTCTGCAGTTATCATTCAAGTGTTGGCAGTGGGGTTGTAGCATACCTAAGGACGCACTCGCACGCTTGCACACAGACTGGACTTGTGGAGACCAGGAGAGTTGGCGGTCGAGAATAACGCCCAGGTGCTTGTGCTCGTTAACAACTTTAATAGGTGTACTATTTAGACCAGGAAAATACAGAAGCTGAGTGGGGGGCGAGGGAGAGAAGAACATGGCCTCGGTTTTGGCGAGGTTAGGCTTCAGTTTCCAGGTTTCCATCCATGTTACTGTACTTTATTCGTGCAATGTAATACGGTGGAAACAATGTGCAATAAATCGATGTATTCATCCGAAATCTGTCGATTTTTTTTCAATAATGGCTTTGTTTTTGTTTTCCATGGATATGTTTTCTTCTGCAGAAACCTGGGGTTGCGTCTATCATGGAGGGATGGAGATGGGCAGGTATGAGGCTCGTTCTGTCTAGCTTCCATGTGACATGAGAGCAAATGAGCCATCCGCGTTAGTTCACCCTCAGTGCTCGTATAACACCGCATGCCCCTAGTCAAGCATACATGAATGTTCTGAGTAGGAGGAGGGGGGGGGGTCTCCCACAATGAGCATCATTAATTTTCTGACACTCCCCTGCCTCAAATCCTTCCCCCTCTCATCAACCACCTAATCCCCCTTCCCCAAGTCACCACCCCTCCCCCCGCCCCAGCAACCTTCCTGTCAGCTACCACCCCCCCCCCATAACCTGACTACAGAATACATGTTCCAAGTTCAATATTGAGGTATACGTCGAGTTGCTCACTTGGAGGCAATGATCGCCCACATTGTCAGCAGGAGACCGAGTATGGATAGTCCCACGCCCACACGTGTGATGATAGTCAAGAATTTCACTGCTGGCGACAGAGTGCCATTGTGATGTAGGCTGGATATCGACTGGAGAATGAGTAAGACCACATTCACAAACACAGGTATTCTCGGTTTGGTACAGACTACACCTTAAGTCTGGCATGGCAGCCTTGCGAGGATAACAATAATTATTGTGAGCTTTTGTTCAAGTGCTCCTACAACGTTTGCATTCACCCTGATGTGAAGAGAGAGAGAGAGAGAGAGAGAGAGAGGGAGAGAGAGAGCTAGTTCACCAAAGTCAACTATCTTACCAATTATGTCGTTGAGTAAACGTTTTTAAAGTCCAGAACAGACCTGATGTGTCCGGATCACCTTGCCGTAATCCAACTCACTTTCAGAGAATGGATTCAACGTTTCGGGAACATTTCCCTCATCAGGCACCATTGCAAACCTGCAATACAGTACGTATCACATTCACGGATAATGATGTACAATGACATCGTTCCATCACTATCCATGTACTTGAGTACCATTAATTTTAGAGTTGATGAGGTTAATGAGCCGTATTTACTTACCACAAGTACAGCAAAGTTAGTCAGATGAGAACACAGACATGTGACAGCTTCCCCGGATGATCGAATAGTAACACAGCCATCCTCTGACCACGCGTCTGTGAGCAAGAAAAGCCGGCAAGTACGACTTGAATACACACACGTTTCACGTGCATTACTGCAGAGAGCTAACCTTTCAAGTTAATGAGGCCCATCAGTAACAGCACAAACCACATAGGATCCTTCCAACACTTGCTGCAGACTATATTAGCCACATCTTTAGGATTTTTTAGTCAGCGGTGTATGATTATCGCTAATGTTTGATGTTCTGAGTAACAGCACCAATACTTTAGTTATCTTCTCTGAACGTTTAGGAGATTTCTGGTATTCATAGGGACGAGTATACACACGGCTTGCAATAGCAGGTGACAGTATTTGCTCTAAGGTTGACGGATGAAGAGGAGCCATACCACCATACCTGCCTCAAAGTCCCAGAAAACGCAAGTGGCGTTGCTCAGTCGATAGCCCTGCAAATGAAACATATTACACATTTGCAATCAATCACATAGCTGAACAGACAGGGCGGCGTTCATCTTGCAGGCGAGAATGTAATCGCTTGCACTTTAGGTGCCAATTGGTCATGGACCACGAGTTGAGTGAAATGGAATAAAGTAAAATCAATCGCTGCTGAACGTGAACTTGCAATTCTTCGAGTCGTGCTGCAACCATGTACATGCACAGTGAAACCTCGTTAAGAAGAACACTGATAAGACAAACGTTCGCTTAAGACAAACTAGTATTCATAACTCTATTGGATAAATCACTGTGTAGTCACTGGGTAAAAGATATGGATAAGAAGAACCACCGTTATTGCGAACAAATCCCGTCGGTCCCTTGGCGTTCGTCCCGCCTCGACTGCAGTAGTTTTTGGAGCGAATGTGGAAAAACATTAGGCGGCAGCTATAGGCCAGAAGGGCGAGCCTACAAGCTAAAATGGAATAATTATTGGGGACAGGGCATTTCTTCCCAGAGGTCATCCATCTAACTTGCCTATAGAACAAGGCAATAACATGGTAAACTTTAATTTTCAAATCAAACCATTCAATACTAGTTGTACAACAGCGTTGTTTGAACACATAGAATTGGAAAATACACACGAAAATCCATTATAAATTCGGAACGACGCTTCGCGCAGCTTCATTATAGCAACTTGTGTTGTGGCAACACTGGCCAACACTCAGATGCACTGCTTCTTCACACAGCTGAACGATTCTTCTTTTTTCTCAACGTTTCGGTCACTCTGACCATCTTCATCTTCATCTTCGTCCTGAAGATGATCAGAGTGACCGAAACGTTGAGAAGAAAGAAGTATTATTCAGCTGTGTGAAGAAGCAGTGCATCTGAGTGTTGGCCAGTGTTGCCACAATACAAGTTACACGAAAATCCGGTGGAACAAAAAAAAGTGATTAAATGAGTTTCATGCTGAAAAGCGCCAACAGGAGACATAGAATCAGAAAAGAATAGTTCCACCTCAACCACATGTGCTCTCTGGTCGACCGTCCTTCACACCAGCAACATCACTCCAACGTGTAGATACTGGCAACTGATACTCGCTTGACTCCTCTGTCAGAGACTTCTTCTTTCGTAATTTTCTAAGTCCTGTCCTCTATTTTCTAACCGCGGCTTATCCTTTCGCCTTTATATCATTGGGCCTAGGTCCCGTTTATTGTGCGAATTAAAATAAACCAACCAACTAAATGTTCCTGCAAATAACGATTCAGGATTAGAAGTCTAGAACAGACATCACAGCAGTCAACCATAGAATGGGGCCCCCAGTTCTGGCTGCAGGAGTGCCACAGCAATACGTATAGGCATAGTTATGTCGCTACCACCACTCACCTTGATGTTCAAAGGCAAGGCGATGCGAACTGGCTGCTCCAGATCGGTCAGGGGTCGATCGCCAATGTTCAGTGTGAGCACGTCCGTTGCAAGCCGTGTGTCATTGGCTAAGCTGGTATCATTGAACAGTGCTGCTGTACGTCGGCTGTAGACAACGAAACTAGGCTTCGCGAGCTGGCACGAGGAGTTGTCTGGATTTGGACTAGCACCAGCAATGGTGGAGGACGGTATGTCGACACTCAGCGTCATCGCATTACCTGCCAATATCAATTTCATAATATTAATATACATGAACCACGTCAAGGATGGCCTGATGAAAATGGGCATGTCAACAGTCTCACTCCTCCCCATTCTCTCACCATGTCTGAAAGAATATCCATACATCTTCACTCTCCAAACGGTCTCTGGGCTACACCAATCGCTAAAAGAAAAAGTACTCAAATTTTCGGGCAAGGCTCATCTTCAGGAATTTCTGAAAGAATGTCTTTGAAAAAGCAAAATTACATAACTGTGTACACCAGAAAAGTCTGTAGAAAAAATTGACTGTCCCCACAAATAATAATACTTGTAATAACAAGAGTGCATAAACAAGAGTATGCAACTGTGGTTATGGGTCAGTGCGCGGCGCGCTGCCTTCATTACGTAACTTGCCTTCATCACGCACTGAAAGCATGCATTCAAACTCACAATTTCTCGTACGAGCCCATCTGTTTTTGCTCGATTCGTTCCAGTACCTACGCGATCTCTAAATTCTGGCACGTGAACTCCAGTTCCGTACGAAAGTTCATTTCAAACCAGAGGAAAAGTGCGGTGTTTGATTTCCGCAGTGCGCGGACTGCAGCTGAATGATGTAATGAAGGCAGCGCGCCGCGCATCTGGCCCATAGAAAAGAGATCACAGTTGCATACTCTTGTTTATGGACTCTTGGTAATAATAATAATCCGCAATATCGCCCTAAAATGAGTTGTGTACACCATAATAGTGCCATAATTTGTGCGTGTGTATGTCGGTGTGTGCCTCTTTATGTAGACGGGGGAGGGGGGTCAGGCATATATCCCCTTCTCCCTTAGGCATACATCGGTCTCTGGGTTCTCCTCCGAAAGGATTTGGCTATCTAAACAAGTCTTACCGTCGCTTAGTGTGTCATTATTTCCCAGCTCATATTGACTTGAACCTACGGCTGCACGAAAGCCTTGATCAGTGCCTGGTTCTGGACAGAGCACAGCCATACCGACTAGTTCACGCACAAACTGTACATTGTTCCGATTGCCCTGCGGCGTCAACGACTTGATCATGGACTCTGAGGAATTGACCAAGCTAGGAAGGACAAAACAGCAGCATAGCAAAAGGCAATGTCTTTAATTTATGTATTCGTGTGTATGTGAGAGGGAGAGAGAGAAAGAGAGAGAAAGACAGAGAGAGGGAGAGAGAGAGAGAGAGAGAGAAAGAGAGAGAAAGAGAGAGAAAGAGAGAGAAAGAGATAGAGAAAGAGAGGTGGAGGAAGGAAGAGATAGAGTACTTAGAAAGAACGATAAGGATCTAGTGAAAAATTGAGCGGTTAAGAAAAACAGGTTAGAGGTAATTTATAATGGTAATACTAGTGGAAGGATAGAGAAAAGAGAGAGAGAGAGACATAGAAAGACAGACAGAGAGAGAGACAGAGAGACAGAGAGAGAGAGAGAGAGAGAGAGAGAGAGAGAGAGAGAGAGAGAGAGAGAGAGAGAGGGAGAGAGAGAGCGAGAGAGAGATAGAGAGAAAGAGAAAGAAAGAGAGAGAGAGAGAGACACCGGCGGAGAACACAGCACATCTTAAAAGTGTTTGGAAGGCACTTTTCAGAAAGTCTTTTCTGTCCATTTTTTGGACCCGAGATAACCATAGAATTTTTTACAGCAAAGCAGAAAGCAAAAAGCATAGAATTTTTCACAGCAAAGCATAAAGCAGAAAGCATCAGATTACTGGTATCATGGAAGTAGAAACAATAGTCAAACCCTCTGTTTAATAGAGGGGTTGCGGTGGAAAAGTGGTTGAGAAGAAAACAGTTGGCACCACCAGGATTCGGAAAAAAGTCGAGATACTGACTTTTGCTGATATAGGCCGACAATCCTCTAATATCGGAGCTGTGGTGTTGCTGCCCTCCAAGCTAAGACCGAAGTAACATTGTCTGAAAACTGCCAATTCTCATGCACAGTATATATTACCTTTTTCCGACCTCCGTTGGAATGACACCAGCAGGCACTCCGATGAGGTTATCAATTGAGAATGTTACAGTTCCTGCAACCTGGATTGGAGAATAACCAAAATAGAACGGAATGATAATGATGAGCCACGACAACTTGCGGACACAATGATGACGTGCGGAAATTGTACGACAAAGAAGGCTTGTGTAAGGCTGACTACTGAGAGTTTTACTAGGCGTGAATGGTATTCCAGAGGTGTCATGCTGCATTTACGATCTTCCTTCTGCCCGTGGAAACTTAAAAAGAAACGTTGGCGGCTTCTCCCCTTGTCTACATTTCCAACAATGCAGATTTTCACATCCAACATGTCCATTTTGGCACACTGGAACGAAACATACGTAAACTGTTGGCGCACTGATTCAATTTCCTTTCACGGTTTGAGTGAGATTTGGCTGGAAGCCGAGTTCCCGCATCCGTAGGAATGCCGCCACCCTCTGTGGATCAAGGCGCAGATGAAGCTCCCAACGAGGTGGGAGGTGAGTAGATAAGACCCGCTACAAAGAGGTCAAAGACTGAAAATCCCGTTCGCTGCATCAATTCTTTTCAAATATGATTATTAGAATAAAATTAAAAAAAATCACATGGACACGATAGATGGATAGATGGATAGTTGCTTCATAATTCGTTTCCATGGGATTTCTTCTATTCAAATTAAAATCGAAATCTTAGAATAACACAAATCATACGTACAACGATTCGATCGGTTTCGTTCCAGCCCTCATCCGTACTGATCGTCGATATCAGGTTGCTGGTGACTCTACTGGCCAAGTCCACGTCTGCAGAGCTGAGCTCTGACGATTTGCCTGTCAAGTTGTTCAGTGTAGCACTCGCTGACAGCATGCCTTGGGGATCGTCTGCACGGAACGAGACCTTCAAATGAATGAAAAAAGCGTTGGAATGGAATTGATCTCATACATTTTAACACCAAGGACCACGTACCTCGAGATGACCAAAGTTACAGAATTCATGGCCTTTTTTCATGGATTTGATTTCAGAATTATTTATTTTCCGCTCCTTAGCGCAATGTGGTGTAAAGCATGCCATTAAGTACCTCGCGCTGGTGCGTACTTGAGGCAGGTAGCTTTCTTTTAAGGAGATCGTGTTCTGATGGATCCTGACAGTATTGTTATGGTATTTTTTTATTGATTTATTTTAATTCGGTATCTCAACAGTACAATGTACAACTTGGGAAGATCCGAATGACATAGATACATACACATAAATGTTATAGAGTGGTGGTATTCACAATTTCACATCTTTGACATTTGGCTATTAAAATTTGTAGCAAAAGTGGCCCGGACTAAGGTCATGAGGACAGTGGAGCCAACATTTTCGATATCACGTGACCCCTATCATTATGCTAGGGTTGAATGGGAATGAAGCCAAAATGGCTGCCCTATATTGCTATGTGACAGATGAGCAGTGTAAGGTGCCAGGGTTGTCGGACACGCCACCGTCATAAGGGTTGACCTTACAAATATTTGCAGCATTATTTACTCCTTGGACCCATACAAAAACACTGGTTTGGATTCTAAATCTCGAAATTTTGATTATTTTATATTATTTTATAGTCCAAACCAGAGTATTGTGTTGCTCCACGGGTGCAGACACACACATACACACACACACAAACACACACACACACACGTGTACACACACACACACACACACAATCACACACAGAGTCACACACACATCCCAGACCACGCCACCACCCCCCTTATTCATGGCTCACACCTGACGGGTTTACGTAGCTCTAGTAAAAACAAAAAAACACACACACACATACAAACACACGCACACATACACGCACACAAACGCGAGCACACACACACAAATACATAAAGAGTAAAAAATTCTGGTACGTTCAATACCTTTGCTAGATCGTTGAGCAACTGTGTTCGAAGGGACGAGAACGGACACTCCGTCGTGTTCGTGTATGTGGCCCACGAGGGGTGCGTTGAGTTATCATTGAAGACCTCACAGTCTCTAGTTGCCATAAACATGGTGACGTTTTCCGCCTCTCCGGGACAGGGCACAGATGCATTGAAGTAGGCCAGTGTGGCCGGCCACTCAATCACACCGTGAAGTGGATCAGTGAGGTTCTCAGCTGGACATAGACCTGTGCAAGGGTACAATATTCGACAGGGGACGCAATTGCGTCAGTAACTGTATTTTGTATTTAAGTGGAATTTTCTTATTTTAAACGACTGTAATTCCACAAATTTTCGGTGTACTTTTATTTTCGGTACTTTCGGTGCATCTATTTCATACCTAAAATTTCAATACACCGAACAAACACTAACACACATAAACCCAATAGAGAACTGCTTCTCTGTACCGAAAATTTCTGTTCACCTAACCTGGCCTTTTGCCGTCATACCGAAATTATTGAGTACCGAAAATTTCTGAAATTAGAGTACTTGAGAGCATCTCCAACCGACCCTTACTGCCTTAGTTCTTCTTACAGGATGACCGAGAAAGATATCATGTTATTTTGTTCCTGTCGAAATGAATAGGGAATAGGATTAGTGCAGAGGCGTTCCGGGAGCGCGTTAATTAAAGCACCAAGGAATGAAATATAATTTGTATCCAGCTGGAGTGGACGCAACTGGTAAACACAGGGAATTATTGGCTTGGCGTCGGGTGGCTCTACATGTATGTGACTCCATCATTTTACAATGCAGCACACCAGGAAAACTTGTAAACCTTTGGTCCTTCTTCTGTAACTTTAACACAACGCGTATTCCATGTATGCAGCTAATAGTATAGGGACATTTCCGGTAATTCAGTTTGGTATTGTTATTCAAAACTGCCCCAGACTCATACTTTTGTGGATTGGACGGTGATGTTGGTTACTATATCTAGCAAGATGAGCGTATTAAAAATTCAACTATCGTACTTGCAGCCCATCACCTTTTGCAAGTACCATTTTGGCCCTGTCCTGCGGGTCGAGCGACCATGCAGTTCATCGGCGCAGCCCTGTGGAACCAGCTCCGTTCCGAGCCCAGCCACCTTCAGTTCTGTGCCCTGCTAATAGCGCATCATGGCTCCGTTTAAATGCTTTTCGGGCCAGCGTGTTTCTGTAGTATAGCGTACTAAAGAATAGGAAACTTGTTTCGCAATATTTGTATGATGCTAATTTTTGTAGTATATTCCCATTTCGTTTTTACTTTAACGTAGCCTGATGTTGACTCACTTATCTATTTTCTACCCTTTCTCTCTCCGTATATCTGTCCCCCTCCCTCTCTCTCTACAACCACATTGCACTCATTTGCCCATCCAGTGTAAACTATTATTTTATCAGTGCTATATTCTCCCTATATTCGACTATTGCGATACCGCTTGGTGTGGCCTTTCTGACACAACTCTGAACCAATTAGAAGTCCACCATAGATTTATACTTAAAATTCTTTACAACAAGGATCGATGTTTTCCTTCGGATGCCCTTTATCGACTTGCACACACTTTTCCTCTCTCCGTTCGTCATAAGCACCATCTCTGTACACTGGTTCATAAAATATTTCTTCATAAAACCCCTTCACACATGATGAAGTACAATTGGTTTTCGACAAGCTCAACCCGTAACGCGCTCATCCTGCCTCTTGTTAAGTCAGCCCAGTATCTAAAGTCCCCTTTGTTTTCCGGCTACTCTCATTGGTTATCATTACCATACGGTCTGAAAACTTGTTCTTCTATTGGTCAGTTTAAAGATCTACTATCACAACTGAGCTAGACGCAATAATTATCATCGAAGAACATTCTCGAATACCTGGGTGATGCACGAATTTTGATAGTGCTCACTTCCGTTAATCGTTTTCTTTGTAATTTTCCATTCATTTTCTGCTCTAATTCATATTTGCTTTGTTTTCCTAGCTTACTATTGCCGTGGCTGGCTCAACGCCCTTGTCTCAGGGGATTCTGTCCCTGCATTAGCTATGCTTGTCACATGCTATGAGATTTGTCTAATAATAATAATAATAATAATAATCCCTCTGTCGCCCACATGCATCAAAAGAGGCGAAACTGCCTGTTTGTGGTGCGACGTCAAATAAACTTCTACAACAACAACTTGCACATTTTTGTTGAGACCCGTGTTGTTTCTTCGTACCGGTCCCATCTAATTAGGAACCGTCAGTGCTTTCTAGATGTTGCGTCGCTTGAGTAGTAGTTCGCACACTTAATTAATCAGTGCTATCAAGGGTATAATTTAATTTAATTTTTAATTTATTTCTGCACCTCGTGGCATGTCAAGACAGCCAATTGAATTGAGGAGAGGGTGAGACCAACCACGGAAGAAGAGAAAAAAAGAAAATGAAGAGCACGTACACAAAGTGGGAAGGGATTAGCAACTTACAAAGCAATGGGATGCTCTGCGAGCTATGCAGCGGAAGTGGGGACTGTGACTTTGTTTACTGGGAGATACTGAAGTGCTGTCTGACGAGGGTACGGAATTTGGGCATATCTGGAGCTTGTCTAACACTGGGAGGCAGTTGGAGCCACGTGAAGTAGGAGGAAAAGAAAGGGGAATTTACGAATAGGGTAGACCTAGATAGGGGGAGACGAACGCAGCTTCGGGTGGTGCCACCTGAATTGAACCATTTAAGGGACTGTAAATGAGCAGGGTGCTGGTCAAGAAAAATTAAATGTGCCAGGGTGCACTTGGAAGCATCAAGGTAGTGTTGCAGAGTGGTAGTGGATGCAGCAGCATACAAGTATAGATTTGAGATAACGATCAGTACGAAATATAATGCGCAGTATACGGCGATGGAGAACTTCTAATTTACCTATGTGGGTTTTCTTAATGGTGGACCAGGCAGGGAAGCTGTACGTGAAGAGGGGAAGAATGTATGATTTATAAATATTAATCCGGCAATTTTGGGGCAAATGGGACAAGTGACTTGACATTATGCCGACAGATCGGCATACTTTGGACGACACACGATCAGAATGGTGTAATTGGTTCTCCGAAACACGGAATACCCGGAACTCATTCAGTCTCCCACGCGCTGCCTCCACCCTATTCACTATTATTATTATTATTATTATTTAAAAATTCGACGAGGAGACAATAATTTTAATATGGCAATAAGTAGGACGAGCTGAAGCGACATGTGGACTACTTTATTAACAATGTAAGCGATGGAGACGATGCAAGAAACAACCTAAAGGGTAAGGAAAAATACATGTAAGAAGAAAAAGGGCAATGGAAAAAAAAAAAAGATGATTCGAACAAGTTTTCGTACAACACTCTTCAGGAATCACCGTTGTACTAAAGAACAAAATGAGAACAAAGGAAATAATATAGCAATCAAGGTAGGGTGACACGATACAATGACAGCACTAGAATATCGAGGTGCGATTTCTCACAAAAGTGTGCAGAAAACAAGGGTATACAAGTAAGAACTAAGCGTGACAAGTGTGTATCAGCAACAAAAAACAAAAAAGTGAGAACGAATGATAATAATAACAATAATAAACAAGAAGGTGACAAAACACATTTAGGCACAAGTGGCAACAACGTTGCCACACTACACAACAGAACATTATTTGAACAATTTTAGGGTAATAACACTATCTTTCTGGACACACAAATTCGGCTTATGAATGCGCTGACAAACAGCTTCCAAAACTTGTAACTGCAAAAGATAACCATGACGAGCACGGCACAAAACAGAAAAACAGGAATCAGAATAAGTACGACAACAGTCAGTACTAGAAACCAAATGATTGTATACTGAAGACTTGTTATTACGAGACGGACGCACACAATCTCGACTCACGCGCACACCCTCACACTCCCTCTCACCCTCACTCAGCTCACCTTCTCCCTCACTGTCCGAATCAGAACCTGCTCCGTCATCCACCACGGTTTGACTCTCCTCCTCACTTGCATCGTCCTGCGTCTCACCTTCACCACCCACGCCAACCCTGAATGCCGTTGCCTTCACGTCAGTCGTCGTCCTTTCCGATTGTTTCCTTTGTATTTTTACCGTGAATTCATAGGTCCGGTTGTAATCTGCTGTAGATCTCCGTGGTCTGTCATTTGCTGCTTTGTTTTGTGGATTAGTTGTTGTTGTTGTTGTTGGATGTGAACCTGGTGTTGTTGTTGGATGTGAAGCTGGTGTTGTTGTTGCCGCCATGGTTGCTGGTCTTTCTGTTGAATCCAGCTCTGGTTCCGGTGGGACAAATCTACCGCCACGGGTGCTCCCCACCAACACAGACCTCGAAGGAGGAGGGTCAGGGGGAGGCAGAGGTGCTGTCACCACTCGAGGCACAGCCCCATGCAAAGCACCCAGAGGCACAGACTTAGGCACACCCGAGGGCTGCACCAGTGGCGGTTCCGCACGCACCTCCAAAGAGCTGCCAAGCTCCAGCCCGTCCAACACAGATGTCAGAGGGGGAGCGGCAGACAGCGGCAGGGAACTATCCTGCCGTCTAGGTGATGGGTTTTTCCTAGGCCTCCCGCGTTTGGGCCTCTCAGATTGCGCACTGGGTGGAAGGATGTGAAGTGGAGTGTGTTGTTTGATACGTGCGTTCAGGTGCTGAACAGTCCTACCAACATACCGACTAGAACAATGTCGGCATTCGAAGTTGTAGATAACATGACTGAGGTGGAGAGTTGGTAGGACGTCCTTCCGCACCGTGAACGCACGCATTGTTGTGAAGACTGGCACAAAATGTACTGCATAATAAGTACGACGGACGATAGACTTGACTGCGTGACACACTTTGACCGATTCCTGCCCCTTCCATGGCAAACATAGATAGACGGGACAGCGAGGTGGACCAATCAGCACCGATTTCGGTTTCTGCTCCATGGACAGAAACTTACGCAACAAGAATTCCGGGTAGCCATTCTTCAAGAAAACAGATCGAAGGAAATCGAGCTCGGGCTGCAGCTTACTGGGCGAACAAATACGTTTCGCACGGTCCACGAGGTTACGAACTAAGTTGACCTTGTATTGAGACGAACAATATGAATCGAAGGCAATGTACTGACCGGTGAACGTAGGCTTACGATACACAGAAGTCAACATTTCACAGCCAGTCTTCTCTACAAGCACGTCTAGAAATGACAACTTACTAGACTGCTCGTGCTCACAAGTAAAGCGGAGGGAA